ATGCTGGAAGTTCTCCGAGATTCCATTGCTAGAAGGGGGGTTTGGGGAAATACTAAGCTGCATAATGTAGAAGACAAAACCTGTGACGTCAGAGGCGGTGTCAGGCACACACAGAAAAGACAAGCCAAAGACGGTGCAGAGGTGGACACTACGGAGCAACTGGAGCCCCAAGCATGAATGTGGGGGCCGGCGTGCACTGGTGAGGTAAGGTCCTGCTGACCTACAGGCAAGGGAGAAGGCCAGCATATTCTGAATGGGTGATGTGCTCGACAAAGACTTGCGGCCAGGCAGGTGGAGGCTTGTTCAGCAGCTCTTAAGCAGCACAGGGCATGTGCACAGGACGGACACATGTGCTGAAGGCTGCTTGGACACTGTACAATGTGTGAATGCCACCAGCCCCGCCAGCACCTTTTGCGAGCTCGGACCTATTCTCTGCTGCTTTGTTTGCTCTCGACTGCGCTGTGCCCACAGCTACCAGCAAACAGAGGACTTCTTAGAAGCTGGTATATAACAGCATTCATTGGCTAGAAATAAAATAAACAGTAGTAATACTTCTATCACAAAAACCTCCCAAAATTGGTGCTGAAGGGATAGCTCAGCAGTTAACAGCCCTGGCTGCTCCTGCAGAGGGCCCAAATTCCATTTCCACATGCAGCCCATTAAGCATGTAACTCCAGTCCCAGGGGATCCAATGTCCTCTTCTAGCTTATGCAGAAAAAAGTCCCATAATACCCATAAAAATAAATTAAAGAAAAATTCCCCAGATTCTAAGTTCACTAGGTTGCTTTATGCTGTGAACTAAATAGTGTTCTAACCTTACTTTAAAATTGATGTCAACCAGGACACACAGATGGATAAACAGGGACTATTAGATGGACGACTATCGTACAAGCGAAATTAAAAACCAACTTCTTTGCTCCATATGCAGCCTAACTGATCACTAAAGACCAGACAGCTTAACCCCTCACACTTCTGGATACTGGAAGTACAAGAGCAAAGCACAAGGCTCGTTTCTGCTGAGGGCTTTTCCAGTCCCATTGCAAGGAACCCATCTTCTACGGACTCCAAGTCCAGCCCCAGGGGAAGGCCTTGTAACTCTGCAGCTCGCAGGCATCTGGGGTCCTTGACATGGCCAGCTCACACCAACAGCACACACTCACCTGGAGCGCCTCCTGTCCCTGCAGGGTGGTCAAACAGTGAGTACACCAACAAGATTCTACCACGTCTTCAAGAAAGTAACAGAAGTAGGGTAGGAAGAAGCGGAGCAACTTTAGCCAGAGGCTGGAAAGATGCTGTCAAAATTGCTATGACCTAAATAATGAAGCTCTTGCAGGGACCATAATCCCCATAAAGCCCTGCTCTCTCAGACAGCGAGGTAAGGCACAAAGCTGTCTCAATGGAGAGATGTAAGACGGCAGAGCGTCCCAAAGGCAGTGTGAAGAGAGCAACACCCCCCCCCAAATACCGCATGTTACACTGTTTACAGCTGAGAAATGTCTGAGACTTGAAACCTTCAAACGAGCACAACGCGAACACATCCTGGGAAACAGCTAACCCTCCCGGGAGTCCTCACACATTGGGGGGGGAGGGGGGGCGGCTTCTCCCCATGCTATTCTGACAGCAAGCACAAACTTATCTTTTCTTCTGTCTTATATGAAACTTTGTAGTTGAGAGAAAAGTCTCTGTGGTGTGGCCACATGATTTTATGAGCCTTTGCCCCAAACTAGTGTCCTCACTGACTGCTGAGGTCTGTGGCTTTGTTCTAGAATGGCTGAGGTTGGACTCCAACCTCAGATAAGTAGTCAAATAGAGCAGAAGTGTCCCTGGAGACTGTAAACTGGTGTTTTCAAAAATAACAGGCTCCCTTACCGCTGGTGAGAGCAGGGCTTCACCACATTGCACACTGGCCTCCTCCTGTGACAGTGTCATTAGCACAATCAAGCCCACCTATCAAAGGCATTTACCGCCCCTCAGCAGAGAGGCGGCAGGCAGGGCTCGGCAGAGGGCCAGCGGGGCACACAGACGGGGGCGAGCCACAGCGCTGGCAGCACACTACTGCCCTTTACCAATTGTACAGTACAAGGACGACCGACAACACATCTCGTCCTATCAAGCAAGGCTCCAGCTCCACCAGCGCTCCGGCTCTGCCGCTGCCGGTGAGACTGGTGAGCACACCTTTACAGACACAGCGATCCCAAGAGGCCTGGACTCACGGGGCCAGGAGGCCTCTCCAGCCAGCACTGAGACTTAAAGGCGGAAAACCAGAAGCCTGCGTGGTTACACACCAGAGTGTCCGCTTGCCAGAGACTCCATCTAGATGCACATGAGAACGTAAAGACCTAAGTGTAAGGCACCCTCAAACTGGAGCACTAATTTTATCTTAGGGAAAACGTTCTCTTTCACTAACCACTTGGTGCACTCACACTGTGGAGCTGGCTTAAGTGTGGGGCTCGTGCTGCTACGAGCCTTCACCAGCCTCCCGGCTCTTCAGAAACTCTGGCCTGCAGTGGGCATCGTATCAACCTCCCCACAAAGCCTCCTCCACAGCACAGCCTTGGCCCAGTCTGGGCCGCAGCCTCTGTGCCCTGATGCTGAAGAAGCCATTCCTGAAGAACCAACAACGCTGCTCTCCTGGTACCGACTGTCCAGCAAAGCAGAAGTGTGTCACACTTCAACACACCTGGTGCCCAACAGGGCTTGTAAGGGACTCCCAAATGCCACTCTGAACTTCCACAACCACACCTCTGGAGTCCACACTGCTCTCAGCAGCATCTTCTACATTCTCACAATATTCACCGGGCTCTCAACACCTAATGGCTTCCCCAGACCAACCTTCATCCACAGTCCTCCCAAAACACGGTCGGGTCTCTCAGCAGGGTCCACTCTCTGGTACAGTTTCTGTCTTAGTTGGGGCTTCTACTGCTATAACAAAACACCATTAGCTAAAGCAGCTTGGGGAGAAAAGGGTTTCTTTTGATCACCTATCCACATCATTGTCTGTCACTATGGAAATCAGGGCAGGAAGTCAAGGCAAGAGCTAAAGCAGACTCCATGATGAGTGCCCCTCATGGTACACTCAGCCTGCTTTCTTATATCATCCAGGCCACCAGCCCAGGCGTGGCGCCACCCACAACTGGCTGGACCCAGCATCAATCATCCCTCAAGAAAAAGTACCACAGGCTTGCCCACAGGCCAACCATAGGCTTGCCCACAGTACAATCTGGTGGGGTCACTTTCTCAACTGAGGAGCCCTCTTCTAAAGCGACTCTGTCAAGATGGCATAAAACCCAGCCAAGCACAGCAGGTGTCAGCTTTGCTATGAAGGCTGGAACACCACAGGGACCACAGGCTCAGCGTCCTGTCCACTTCCTTCAGCACTGTCCAGTCAGTAAACATGCAATGTTTTCCTGTTCCTGTGCGAGTGGGGCTAATTTCTGACACCTGAGGTCACCAAATGAAAAGTCTAAGGCTATCGAATCACCGATTTAATACATTCTTCACTAAAGGCCTTAAGATAGCGTGACCATAGCAGGGTCAGGCCAAGAAAACAAGAGTTGAAGGCCTGGGCGTTTAAGGCATGACAACACGGAGGCCAGGCTCCACACCTGTGATGTTTACACGGTCCTGTGACGTCAGGAAGAGAACTCCACTTACATACACACACCTTAGGGCTTCAAAACACTGCGATTCCCATTAGCTGGGTGTGCTCTTTAACATTTTTAGTATTCAAGCTCCTGAAACTAGGATGTGCCTCTGTAGAGAAATGGATGGGGAAGAAGTGGAATGACGTGTAAGGATGAGGCGTAGCTAGCACCAGCACATGCTCACTTGAAAACTGGCCACCGTGAGGGCGTACCCACAGCAAATAAGCTGCCAGCTGCCGGCCACAAAGCCTTAGTAGGCGACGGTGCCGGTCACTAACGTTTTGAACACAGCCCTGTGACACTGTCTGAGATGCAGGCAGGAGCCTGGTGCCTGTGAAGGAGGCCCCGAGGGAGGAGAGCGACGAGGCACACGCCGGTGCACGCCTTAGGCCCCTCTGCCCAGTGTGCTCACCCTGAACAGGCAGGAAGAGGGAGGTGTCCCCACTGTGCCCTGGCTGCCACGAGCTGTCAGTTTCTACGCCAGGGCATTTTCACTCTTCCACACCTAACTGGTAATGAGAGTGTATCACAAACAAAACAACTCTCCGCAACACCTCTTCCTTTAAAGTCAGCTCCAGCTTGAAGCACACTGCATTTGTCACTTAGGACCTCGGCTGGGAAGCACCCGTCCTGACTTAGCACAACACATTTCCTTTCAACTTTGAAACTTAAAAGGCAAATGTTCTGAAATCAAGTGAAAATATTCGTATTTTTCCTGTGATAAGAATTTTGTTTCACTTTTTCTGCAGTGTCTGGACCTTCAAGAAGAAGCGAACTATCTTAGAACTATACACAGTGCTCGCTTCTTTAGGAGACGCACTTTTCATCCGCCCCCCCCCCCCCCCCCCCGGCCCCCCCCCTCTCCCCCCCCCCCCCCCCCCCCGCACCTGCGGCTGGCACACCCTGGAACAGTCCACACGGTCTGCTTGGTGCGCACACGCTGCAGAGCGCCAGCCACCCCCCACTTGTCATTTTACCGGAGAGGAAACCGGTTCCTGGGCCGTTCACTCTGGCCACGGCAGACGCCAGGCCTCTCAGTACAAACTGGGCTGCCACACCCTAGCCTATGGGACAGCGAGCGTCTATCTAGCCAAGGACGACAGACATGGCTATGACCCAGCCTGGCCCCTTCTTCCTACAGCGACTTCCTGAGAGTAAAGCGCTGCTCGCAGCAAACAAACACACTTCATTCCCCAGGGGCTCTTTGGAGGCCTTCCAGAAGCTGGCGCATTAAGCACTGGAGTCGGTGACCTGATGCCAGCATCACAAAAATGCCACTCTTCCAGTTCACCCCAGACCACAGGTGGGGACCACATTCCTCACCGGGCCATCACCGAGCCCGCCGGGGTCGCTCACCTGAAGCTCTCGGTATCTGGCTTGGAAGGACACAGCGTCTTGCTCCTTCTCCTTCAGGAAGCCTTTCTCCAGGACACTGTGCTTCTCCATCAGAGATTCCACATCCTGCAAGGGACCACACACAAGCTCTGCGATGCTCCACGGCATAAATACTTTTTCAATAAACAGAAAATACTTGTCAGGGAAGAAAACCAGCAAAAATGGCTTAATTTCTAAGAATTGTGAACACATGAAATGGCCGAAGCTAAGTGTGACTTCAAGGCCAAGACTGACTACTGACAGGACTCTAAAACTAATAAATGAGCAAGATCAAGGCTGGAGCGGCATCGTGGAGGAAGAAGTGTGTGCTGAACGAGCAGCAGGCCCTGAGTGTAGACCTCTCACACACCCACAGAAAAGCCACATGTCCACGAACATCTGTGACTCCAGCAGAGACAGAGACGGAGGCATCCACGGAGCCCACGAGCCAGCCACCCTAGTGCAGAGTGAGCTCCTAGTGCAAAGTGTAGCCAGATGAAGGCATCCTGACACTGACCTCTGACCTCCACAGAAGAGCACACGGGCATGTTCTCCTACATGCATACAAGCACATGCAAGGTGCACACCACAAACACGGAACAATGAGTAAAGAATAAAAGCTTCTCAGCCAGTGCAATGAACAAACCCAACCTCTGTCAGCACCTCTGATGACGCCTAAGATACACAAACACACGCAGGGACAAAAGGACAGACAGCAGACACACTGATGGGTGTAGAGAGATGATGGATGAGGGAGATGAAAGAAGACAGACAGACTGACGGACGGGAGGACAGAGGAGAGCTGACTTCTCACATGCCAAACTGAAGGCCACACAGGCGTGCAGCACTGCCTGCTCTGAAGGGAAATGAAGGTGACGAGGAACGGGAGCCTCAGAGGAGCAAGAAACGACAAAAGGCCAGTGGAAACCTGCAAGTGCCATAAGGGCACACCCAGCCTTGGCTCACATGGGTCCCCTGCTGACGCAGGTCACAGGAGGCTCAGGTCCGTTACAAACAGCATAGTATTTTCAGGGAACCGACACACACCCTGTTCTGTACACTAAATTATCTCCAGATACTTAAAATATGGAAATACAAGGGAAATAGGACCTAAACCACTGCTTTGTCTGTGGAAACGGGGCGTGTGAACACACGCCCGAGGCGCACAGAACGCGTGCCCTGAGCATTTCTGATGCACGGCTGCTTGCGGTAGATGCTGACTGCAAGGGTGTGCTAACCCTGAACACAGATTTCTGCTCGTGGTTTGGCTTACGCTTATGTGCATGTCCGTGTGCCTGCACACGTCTGTGCTCTGCGTGCACACAGGAGCTCCTGGAGGCCCGCAGAGGGCGCGGCTTCCCGGGAGCCCCCTCCAGCCACGCCTGCGCCTTCTGTCAACGGCATGCACAGCCTGTGACGTGATCCACCCACAGCCTAGGAGTCTCGGTCCTTGTGGATTCTATCAAATCAGTGACATACAACTGTACATCGCCAGGTAAACGCACACTCACCTTTTTAATCCTCTGTTTTTCTTCTTCAGATGCCTTAAGCTTCGTCTCCAGACTTGAGATTTTTTGCTGGAGCTGAGTGCTGGACGCATCAGCCCCAGGACCCTCGGCCTCGTCCTCCAGAGCGACCGCCCCATGGCTCGGCTCGGCTGCCAGCCCCAGGGGGAAGAGCGGGATATTCAGATGTGTGTGCGCCGACTGCTGAATCTAAAGGTGTGAACAAGACAGACCACACAGAGGGGCTAGGCCACTGCACTAAGCCAATGCCTGGGAGCGTCAGAGGCCACACATGGAGCCAAGTGCAGAACATCGGTGACGTGTCCTTGCAGCGAACCCACACGACTCCAGTCTCGGAGTCTGGAGAGAAGCCTCCTCTGTCTACAGTACTCACTACTGTGCGACTGTCAGCTCAGTAAACAGCCTTCCTGTGCAGGAGTGCCCAACGGAGCAGGAACGCACCCATTGTGAAGTGCGCACACAGAATGAGGGTCCATTTATAATTCAACTGCAACTCAGCAGCTCACGTTTATTAACGCCACTAACTTGGCGCCTTCCAGCAAAATTAACAGGCTATTTCACTGCACTCGGTACGTTAGGGCTGAGAGCAGAGCTCTGCCTCCAGCACCCAGGATGCCCGGCTCTGCAAATATTTCAACGAGTATCCTACGATGATTCTCTGTGGAGGTTTTATCCAACACTTGAAAAAGATGCTCAAGAACCTAGAAACAGCATACTTCCAGAAAAGAAAAGCTACTCTTTTAATAATTATCTCCCCTTTTGAAGTTTAACTTGGAATTTAAGTTTGAAATACAAAAACCATTATTCTTTCTGGTTATTATTCTCCTTTAAGTCCAAGATTTCACAAGCAAAGCTAAACCCACCTTAAGGACTGTGCACGACTGTTTTCCTCAGTAACCTCTGGGCTGACCCCATGCCAACAGCCCGGGCGGCCTGCATGCTCCTCTGGTGTGATTTCACACTCAAGTCACATTGTAAAGTGGTCGGAAAAAATCACCAGTGGAGCCCAGCTCTGTCCCTGTGTCCTGCCAGCACTGCCTGCGGGAAGTTTGCTCCTTTGTGCCTCAGTTTCTCACCCTTCCACGGGGGAGCAACGGTCAATTTGTTGTCTTGTCTGTGTGTGGGCATCTGTGTGTGGTGGTCACAGGCCCCCTGCAGCTGCTCCACGTGGGTGCTGCACCCAACTCTGGTCTCCAAGAGGGCACTGAGCACTCTGCTCCTTGTGAGGGCCTGCAGTTCTTATCCAGGGTGCACCGACAGCTCACACAGGAGATCACACAGAGCTCTGAGGTGCTTCAGCACACTGGACGCTGAAGGTGAGTCCCGCCAGCTTTCTTCTCTGACCTAGTGTCCTTTGGGTCTAACTGGAGCCTCAGGTCTGAGCACTAAGTCACCTTAGCAATGCGACACTCCAAGCAAAGCCCTGTGACTCAGGTACCTAAGTCTGTTGCATTCATCTTACAAAACAGTATTATCCAGTATTGCTAATCTAAGCCTTGGTCTCAAAATCAGAACATCGGATCTACTGACTGCAGCATTTCTTCTGGACAGCTGTGCTTCAGAAAGTCACAGCTCGAGTTAAGTGGGAGGCAGCCCCTCACCTGAGCTTTCGGGAGGCTCTGGCTCACAAGGCTGCTGTCTGCGCGCGTGTCGTCTGGCGAGGAAAGGATGGTTTCTGAAGGGAGGTGGCCCGAGGAAGGGGGCGAGCGGTCATGGTCCAGGACGAGCTCCGGAGAGGCTGCTGCGAGACCGACTCCGGATACTGAGGACAGAGCACAGGGGGAGGTCAGAGCACGAGGCCGGCAGGACAGGAGGGTCGGAGGCATGCGTGAGAGCCTCGGGGTAGAAGGCGAGATGTTGTGGTTAGTGTCTGAAACCCACAGCAGTGTTTCTGAATTACACATGTTTCTATGTGAGCTGAAGACAAACATGTTTTAACGTCTTAACATGTGAAACAGCCTGCAGAGGGAGTTTCTTTCCTGCCAGAGGGAACACTCGACAGAAGACATGTCCACTCCTAACTCGGGAGCGGCCTAGTGCGGCCGTGCCGTGCAGGCGGGAGGCATGGGACACTGACACACAGGCTGACCTGCTCTGGTCCAGCACAGCCACAACTCACCACGGCACAGCAAGGGTGAAGGCAGGCTCCTGGGAAAACCTGGGAGTTCCTCTTCTACTAATTTTTTCTTAAGTTTTCATGTTAAAGTCAATTTTCACTTACTGGATTGTCTCCACAACAGTAATAAAAAAAGAGACAGTTTTGCTCTTAGCTCTGCAATAAACCACTGCCGTAGTGCTTAAGCTCACACTGGAAGGTGTGGAAGCAGCTGGCCGACAAGTACAAAAAAGACAAAAAGACAAAAATACAAATGAGGACAAAATATATTTATATTATTTTATTTTTAAATGCTTCCAAAAATTCAAATGACTCTAATGCTTTGAAATGTAAGGAGTCACCTTCAGCAGTCAACTCATTCACACACTCACACACACTCACACACACACAACAGCCTAACTGCAGTGACCTTTATTCCACATTGGCATCAGTAGCTCTGTCCGCGGGTCCTACCACAAGCTCTGAAGATGGTTCACAGTGGAAATTGTGTGTTCCCCTGAAGAAAGACACGTATAAGGCCAGTGAATACTAGCGAACTCCACGCACAGACTTAAGGAACTGCTAAATTATCTTCCGTAAACCTTTCTCACACCGAGTAGTGTGGTATGTTACACACCGGATAACAGGGTAGAGAGGACACAGATACAGTCACCATGCAGGGAATTCTCACAATAAATTAATTTAAAACAAGAAAGTCATCTAAATTAGTGTGCACAAGCGTGTCTACCTCTTAGTGCCTCTGTAAGCATGTGTGTGCACAGAATGTGTCCCCCTATGTGCCTGTGTGTGTGCACAAGCTTGCTGTGCCTCTATGTGCCTGTGTGCGTGCACATGTGTGTGCACAAGCTTGCTGTGCCTCTATGTGCCTGTGTGCATGCACACGTGTGTGCACAAGCTTGCTGTGCCTCTATGTGCCTGTGTGTGTGCACACGTGTGTGCACAAGCTTGCTGTGCCTCTATGTGCCTGTGTGCATGCGCTTGTGTGTGCACAAGCTTGCTGTGCCTCTATGTGCCTGTGTGTGTGCACATGTGTGTGCACAAGCTTGCTGTGCCTCTGCGCTTGTGTGTGCACATGTATGTGCACAAGCTTGCTGTGCCTCTATGTGCCTGTGTGCATGCGCTTGTGTGTGCACAAGCTTGCTGTGCCTCTGCGCTTGTGTGTGCATGCGCTTGTGTGTGCACAAGCATGTATGTCACGTGTGCACATACACATGTGTATGTATGATTGCACACTTCTGTGTGCATGTATGTGTGTTTGTATACAGGCCTCTGTGTACCCCGTGGACTGTGTGTGTGTGTGTGTGTGTTTGAATTTGCAATTGAAATACAAAGGTGTGCCAATTTTTTTCATCTCAAATACAATAAGGCAGAAATTTAATTCCAGTTTGCACTTGGCATGTATTTTTCAATTTTTCCCCAAATCTTCCCTCATATGAAAAAGTAAAGTCTCTAAAAAAATGTCAGAATATTCCAATTCCTAGTTGTGATGTTTAACTGATAAAGACTGTATTACTGAACTCTGAAAGTCACTCAGCACCGCGGCTGCTTCAGAACAGACTGAGCATTGCCGCCTGGCACTGGCTCTGGGTCAGCTTGACACCAACTGCGGTCACCTGGGACTTAGAACCTCACAGAGAAACCCCCAGCTGGCCCCTGTGCAGGCCTGAGGTGTACATCCAGGTCTGGGCATCCTCGAGGCAGGCTCACGTCCTGCTTCAATTCCTGCCCTGTCGTCCCTCACCGTGGACTGTGATTTATCACAGCGACAGACACCCAGCTAGACAGCCTAACATCTGGGTCTTTCGGTGTCTGTGTCACTGGCCTCTACAGCCATGATCTGAAACCAGCTGGCATGCAATCCTCTCCAGTTCTGACCATCTAAGCACATTATGAAGAGGAGGAGAGAGCAGGAGGCAGGAAAGCTGGAGCCAGGAGAGGAAGAGAGTACAACAGGGCAAGAGGAGAAGAGGTTAAAAACGAGGAAATCACGAAATATGCAGACAAATGATGGACTAGAGAAGATCATCCTGAGTAACCTAGACACAGAAAGACATACACGGCACACATTCAAGTAATTTTGGGATATTAGCCACAAAGCACAGACAGTCACAGGAAAATACAGACCCAAAGCAGCTAAGAAACAAGGAGGGCCGGGGAGTGTGCGTGAATCTCCCTTAGAAGGGGAGACAGAGTGCACATCTGAAGGAGACGGAGGAGGGGACAGGGGTGAGGACAGGGCTGGGAGGGCTGGAGAGAATAGACATCTCTGGGACAGGGAGCCGCTGGGAGTCCACAGTGGATTCTGGCTGTGACTCCTTGAAGCAGGAGACATGGAGCCTACATGGGCCACTGTGGCCAGGTGGGACTTCCAGCAGAAGGAATGGGACACCACCCACCACAGAACCTTCAACCAGCCAGAGACTGGCCCAACTTGGGTCACACATCATGAGAGAGCCCACCTGAGACCATTAGTCATAGTCTGCTCCACAGACTTGCAGACTGCACAACTGTCACCAATCAATTAATTAAAACAGATAAACTGCAAATTCAAAAAAGAAAACCCAAACAAACCAACCTAGGAGGCAGGGGGAGGAAGGGGGAGGCAGGGGGAGGCAGGAGGAGGCAGGAGGAGGCAGGAGGAGGCAGGAGGAGGCA